CCCCCGCACTGACCGAAACTTACAGGATGGAAGCGGAAGGTGATTCTTAAAGAGACAGAGGCCAATTTCAAGGCATTTAGAAGAGGAAGTGATGAGAAGATAAGTTTATTTTCTATTTAAACATAAAAACATCATTTTAATAACAGCTAATGGTGACATAGATACTTTATTATGGTATAGTATTTAAATGTATGCCTGAGAAACACATAATATTGCCCCTTTAAAGACAACAGAAAGTGGTTTTGTGAGTAAAGCCACCAATATTTCAGAGTTCAGGCTGTTATTACTTTATTTCTTTCCTGTTAATATTCAGACGTTTGGATCTCTTTCCCAAGAACAGTGCATCATTTTAGTTTGAACTGCATAATTGGGTTCTTTTATCTGCTCCAGAGGTCTTAAGAGCACACTTATGCTCACTCAGTTCACTTCTTTCGCTTTCCAAAACAGAACTTTGAAGCCAGGACGCACCCCCCCCAACAAATGCTCTCATAGCAGCTTTCGTGACCTCTGCTTCCCGAGCTTCGTCCTCCTCCGTGCAGCTGCTGAAGTGTGACAGCAAATCAAAAGTCGGATGCCGTAATTAGGCGATAGGCATTCAAGGCTTCACTTGCACGGGATTTCGCATTGACTGCTTATCTTCTCATTAAAGCTGGAGGAGAAAATCCTGTACATTTTAATGGTCCTGGTGCTGACGAGGGCAGAGTCACCATCGAAGGGGAATGAAATGTTTAAGAGCCAAAGATTCCAAGATTTATCACATATTTAAATGTGCAGTTGATACCTTTCAAACGGTGAATCTCTCTCTCAGGGAAATTCGTTTTGTGCTTGAGAGCCGTTAAGCTTTTAATGCCGTGCCCGAGGGTCCGGTAGCAGCAGCATTTGAGGGGAATAATTGTATTTCCAGTTAATTCTCCTGTGTTTGGCAAACCAGTAGCAGGTCGTACAAAACGTGGGCCTTTCCCAGCTGTTAAAGCCATTCAGTCCCCAGGTGCATAAATCATAACGGAGCCCCGCTGTCTGAACCAGTATTTTAATTCCAACATGGCTGGCTGCACCTGTCCTCCGGTTGGGTTTAGTTGTTGGTTCGGTGGAAATAACTCACCGTCTGACATTTCGTGCGCACGAGAAAATGCAATTATACTTGTGCTTAACTCGTAAATAAAGGGGAATGATGGTGGGACAGATTAGTAGATAAGGGAGCAGCCATATAAGAAAGTACAGCAATTGTGCAAAGAGGTATAAAGCTGACGGGTCCTGCACAGGTTCTCACAGAGGCTGATAAATTTCTAGGGCCTAGCAGGGGTCGCCCAAATGGGATGGTTCTTACTGAGCGTCAGACACCAAGAATGTGGGCTGTGTTATCAAAGCAGAAAAGAAGGCAGAATTTCTCTCGGATATTATTGTTTCAATGTGTTTTTCAGTGTCATCAATTGATTGTTTTCATTTCTGAGAACTGAATTGTCTCCTGATGGGATCTTAAATATATTGGGTTATGATGTCTCTTTCTTACTTTATTGAAGTTGTAGTTATTTTTCTGTACTCTGTATCTATTTTATTTGTACCGCCCACTGCCAGAAAGAGAAAGCGGGCAATACTGTTTTTGCCCACGCCTGAGTTCATGTCCGGCTATCAGAGTACCACTCTATAGATTTTAATGAAACGCACAGCTGCACATCTACAACTAATACATTTGAGTCTGCTTGATAGAAGATGGTCACTACAGCTAAATCACCATTAGCCAATACAGACATGGCTGTACCTCAGTCAGTCTTATAGCTATAGCCCTAAAATTTAATGTAACTGTAGCTGAAAGTCACCCTTAACTCAGTGTCTGAGCGTGATTTCATATGATAACGTTGTCAAGATTTCTCAACCTCAGACTATCTTTGTATTAAAGTCTGGCATGAAAGACGCTCCTTTAAGAAATTCTAGGCCTTTGTCGTTGAACTACAGTAGCTCTCTTTGCATACATGACAAGTTGTACTGATTGTCCATAAAATACAGTACACGGATTTTCCACCACTTAGTACATATACAGACGTATACAGACGTATAAAGAAAATCTCACAGTTTTTTTCCAAAACTTTGCTTCAAATTTGTTTTTACGTGTCAGAGCCAGCATAGCATGTAAGGGTATGCTAAGTTCGCTCAGGCCTCCTCCTAAAGACTGTACCAGCCCCACCCTTGTATCATGTATTAGTCTTACAAACCTTTGGTTATGTTCACAGATTTCTGAAGGTTATATCTTTGAAGGGGTTGATGTGTTCTGTATGTCCTTGGGCTTTTGCTTGGTCACTTCCTGGTTTTGCCTACATCTCAACCTGGTTTCTGACCAGCACACCTTTGACTCATTGCAATAACTTCCCTCAATGTATGAAAAGTTCTAAAATTTCCCCGTCGCCCTTCATTCAGGCCCACCAGGTATGATGACACTGAGATTCTTTTCTTCCACCATTTGCAAAAGTTCATCATCTTCCTCCACACTATGATTTCATTCCCCTTGGTTATTATCTTAACCTTTGTTTCAGAGATGCTAAAAACTTGTCTGAACGTGGCTGAATACTGCTACCTGGCCCCTCAGTGGATTAACTTGCTTACTTTCTAATCTGTGTCGTTGGGCCCCAATGGCAGATGAGACAATAGTGCAGGAATGGATGAGTGTCTTCCCATGAATCTTTGCTCTGTCTGCTGCTTCCTCTTCTTTTTTTCCTAAGCATGCACAGCATCGAAAGCATGTCAGCTAGCAGCAGTTATTTTTGTTGCTCCTCAGCAAGACCATTGCCCGCGTCTCCTGATTGATTTGGACACGTTATTTGTTTTGCGTTAAGGGAGTAGAAAGCTTGGTTTATCGACGTGCGTTTCAAAATAACAACTGCAAATCATGTTAAGTAGATGTTCCAATCTTTTAAATAGACCAGGATGTCTTTGACCTGGGGCAACAATTGATTTGCGTATTGCTAATTAATTGGAGTTTTGCCTCGACTCATGGTGAAGGAACTGGAGCCAGACCAGGCTGACTTGGATGGTTAAAGTTGACTAAATAATACTTAAAAATAAATAAATAAAACATGAAACTTTATCAGTTCTTCACTGTAATTTTTTTGTTGTGATGAGAAATCCCAGAACTGGACTTATCTTTAGTTAAATGGACACAGCTCCAGGCGTATGTTTACACACACACACACATCCAGGCCTTCATACACACACACACCCTCCCCCCCAACCAGTTTGGGCTCTTATCCT